TGATAGCCTTTGAATACTATCTAGAAGAGATGACTAACTACGTCATGACTAAAATAAGACACTTGTGCATTCCTTCAAGACACCGCTTCTGTCCAATGATGAGATAATTACAAGAATTTCTCTGTACTCTTAAAAAAATCAGCTGTAATTATGATACTTTTGTAAATATTATTTGAAAAATTTTTATCTTAGATTATTGTGTCTCTTTATTATTTTTCTTTTTTTTTTTACTTAAGTTTAATATAGTATATGAACGTAAACAAAAAAAAAATGAGAAAAAAGGACATAAATAAAGAGAACATGGAGAGAGCTATACAGACTGTAGTGAAAGATACGACACTGAGAAATGTAACTCATTTATTTTGAATAAGACTCGATACCTTGTCTTATGAAAGTCAAAGAAGAACGAAAAAAAAAAGAAATAGAAAATTTTTCATGAAAAGAAAAGTTTTCATTAAAATCCTTATTTTTTGTAAAAAAACTTATAAGAAAATAAAATATATATTTAACAGTAAAATCACATTGCAATCAAGATCTGTTTATTAATTTTTATTATGGCAAAAATTTCAGCTGTTTGTATAAATGACAAGAAATGAAAATTGTTAAAATCTCTTTTCAAACTACGTAGATTTGACAGTAATTTTAATCTTAGGGAAACTAAGAGATGCGGGAATTAGAAAATAAGCTTTGCCAGAGTGAAGCGACGAATACTCTCATATATTTTTAAAAGCTTTTTCCATGTCATAATATTAGTTCTTCTATGGATGTATAAGTGTTTCTGCAAGAAAAAGAGTACCATTACGGTATTGTGTCCTTTATATCCGCTTCTTGAAAATAACTGTCCTACTTTAATGTCTGCGTTAAACTAAAATAAGAATAAAAGAAAAGGCACGCTATACACAATGCACTCTCTAAGACGATTGACGGTTAAATGGGGAAATACGGCAAGATTAATCTGATACCTCGTTTTCCATACTGTATACTTCATTTAAGTGCGCACGTGTCCGCGCTTGTATTTTTAGTCCGGTCAGAATTTGTAAAAGACCGTATGGAATATATATATA